CTCAGGCTCCAGCCCCAGAGAGTCTGATTCAGAATGTTGGTGAAGCCTCAGAATCGGTATTTTGCAGGTGAATAATGTGCACTTCAATGCTTTAGAATCCCTGCGCTAAGAGGGAAGTTAGCAATGGCTTCTCCTGGATGAAGAAAATACACATCTAGCCAATTAAACCAGAAAAGAGAATAAATCCTAGATTCCAAAAATTCTGAAGTCTGCCCCAAGTTCTGCAGAGAAAACCATTCACTAGTAAGACAAAAGCTATACAAAGAAATGCAATATAGGGTTCTACAGGAACTTAGAATAAATGTGGGAAAAATGCAACCAAAACAATACAGCAGCATATGCCATATACTGTTTAAGCTCTAGAAAAACTGGGGAGTGGGATGTCAATTAGAACCTTCTCCTTCTCTTCCTGTTCCCACAAGCTTTCAGAGGAAAGGGGAAAGAAAAGGAGGTAGAAGAAGCAAAGACTCTCTCCCACCTTGATCTCGGGATCCCTACTGAGGAAGTGGAAGACAATGACTTTCACTGAAGCAGGAAGGTGGCTTCAGAGTCAAGTATGGATTTTGCAATCAGACAGATCTGAATTTAAATCCCAGCTCCACCACTCAATTACTCTATCACCTTGAGCTCAGTTTCTTGTCTGTAGAGATAATACTTAACCTTCAGAACTGTTGTAAACACTCAATGAAATAAAAATTATAATATGTACCTAATAAGAATGGGATACAGCCTTCAAAGACTGAAAAAGAACCTAATAGAAACCAACCAAATCATTTATCAAAATACTGATTTAACTAACCTTTTTGATTCTCTGTTCTCCCCTGGGAGAGGGGATCTGTTCACCAGGTTGACTCAAATTGTATCACCTAGACTCCCTTTGCTGGCTTCTGGCTGAATTTGCCCAATAGAAAATACCAGATCAGAGGGTGCCCCTCACCCCCAAGGGGGCCACATTTCTGATAGGGCCTGCATCTATCCAAGACTATGACTTCTGTTAGACAGCTTTCTGAAATATGGTAATACTGTTTCCTCCCCGGGCCCCTTTGGACTAAGGGCAGTAGCCACTCCCAGTAGTTGTTTGTCTCCAGGCTCCTCAACATCTTTTACTGCTTCCCTGAAACCTACCCATACTGCTCTAAAGTCCCATCATAAAAGTCTCCTGAACTATCTGAAGTGGATTCATTTTCTGCCCAAAACTAAAATGATCCACCCTAACTTCTCACAAACTAACTTCTCCCAAATGTGACACATCCTCTAATGGCCATGTTTTAGCCTAATTATTCTATCCATCCTTTCCCTCCACCCCCAAAAAGTTTCTTTCAGTTTCTTTCTCTTGGAAACATGAGTTCAGAACTGACCCAGAAGGAATGGTCTCTTTTACAGAAGAAACCACATTTTTTCTACCACTGACCCAAGAAACAGAAAACCAAACTGTGGGGAGACCAAAACAAAGCAAAGGGGGGAAAAAAAAGCAGAGATGGGCAAGAGAGAGCCTTGCTCATCCAAGTGCCTGTGGATTCCTCGAGAAACACTTGCAGCCTTGTAATCCACACTATTTTGCTTGAGCCAGTATGTTGGTTACCATTACTAGCAACTGAATCCTGAACACATCATAAGGTTGATTTCAACTGCTTCTAATTATCACCAAAACAAGATGAAATACTCCCTGAAATAGTAAAAGAACCAAAGGCTGAAGAGAAAGGGACATCAGAAGCTGAAATGGACTTTACTGGACCAAAGGTGAAAAGTAAACCATAAGATGACTAGGACTATACAAGCAGCAGGAGTCCAGGCAGGCACCGCTTAAGGTGCACGGCCAGCACTCTCTAACCAACGAAACAAAAGTTCAGGAGATTTCAGAACTGAATCAATGAAGATTTCATGGTAGGCTCATTCACCTGCATCCTGACCTATATTTGGACAGTGTAAATTGTGTTTTGTTCCTCCATAAATATGACATCTTTTTGGCCAATGATCATAAGCCCTTATGAAGAGGTCGATTTGAAGCCTGTTAATCGGCATGGCTCTGTGATACACAGAGCTGAGCATTTGCCAAATATGTGCATGGTGGTGAAAGGGAAGTTTGACTTAAAAATAAAAACACCATCAACTCATTTCCCTTTTAAAGCTCACCTTACTCATTCAATGCTAACAACCTACCAAGTGCTGGACACTGGCTAGGCCTTAAGGGTCCCATATAGACAAGTCAATAGGCTATTACTGCCTTCCAAGATCCATCATGAGGGAATGACTGAGCCTCTAAGACCTCTAGGATCATGCTTTGGCCACCTCTGCAAGCTGATCTTCCACCATTTCCCCCAACCCACCCCTTAGGCTTCACACGTCCTCCACCTGAGGACTTACAGAGTCACCATCCCTTCCTTCTGGAATACTCATGCCTACTTAATTATTGGTCATGCTGAGAGCGCAGTTAAAATGCTATTTCCTTAGGGAAGCCGCCTCTGACCTCCCAGTCTAGATCGTGTCCCTGTGTTTTCCTTCATAGCACTCAGTACAATTTTATATACAAACACTCAAGTACATTAATAATTTCTGCATCTTCCATCTGGCATGAGAGCTACATAAGGGTAGGTTCCTTCCTAGCCCCTCAGCCCAGCTCCATTCTGTGTCGAATAAATGAATACTGAGTCCTGAAGATACAGAGGGAAAATCCTTGATATGAATTTAGGCGAGCAATTCCACCTCCTTAGGGAAGCCTTCAGAGCATTACAAGTCCCTGGAATTCTTTTTTATTTATTTATTTTTTTAATAAATTTTATTTCTTTAGAGACGGGGTCTTACTGTGTTGCCCAGACTGGTCTCAAACTCCTAGGCTCAAGCAATCCTCCCATCTCAGCCATCCAAAGTGCTGGGATTACAGGCATGAGCCACCATGCCCAGCCCCTGGTATACTTTAACTTCTTCAGCCTTCACTAACTATACCACTTCCTTGGCATAGATCTTAAATTACCTTTGTCTTTATTTTATTCACTTTTACTCTCTTTGTCTCCCTCCTATCTTTCATTTATTTCACAACCATGTTTTAGCATCCCTACTGTTTCCCACATAACATGCCGGAGACTAGATATATGATGTAAACAAAATTAACTAACTTTGCCCAAATTAGATCCTAAGCATCTCAAGGGCCAGAAATGAGGCTTATACTCTTTTCTTCCTTGACAGCACCCAGCAGATAATGGGTGTGTTATAAATATAAATATAAATGATTTTCTAATTCATCATAAAGTAATAAAGAAGGATTTATGAGTATGGTGGACCTCTGCTGCTGGATTATGAACTGCCATGGGAATTACGGGTGCTGGGAAGATATCTCTAACCTTGAGGTTACAGATATATCCATGCCTCGATGCCACTTTCAGAGATGAAATGTGAGAGAAAACAGGACACATGACAGAGTCAGTATAACATGGCAAGCTGCAGTAACAAAGAAAGAAAACCAAAGGTTTTTAGAGAAAAATCGTTACCCTTAAAGTCTCCCTAAAAAGCATACTTTGAGGATAAAAATCAACTGAACAAAGTGTATATAAAAATATAGCAGGGAAAGACACATCTAATTGCTTTTGGGCATTTTTATGCTCCCTCACACACAAGTAACATACAAGTTCCCCAGTAATACACACATATATCCCACTATTCCTAATCCTGAATTATAACTAAAATATGCAATTGTGAGTTCTGACTTCATTAACCAGGCTTAATATGCAACCTGTTGACTAAATATTGGCATTTCTTTATCTACAGAGGGCCCAGAAGGTAACAGCAGGACACGATTTTTAAATGGACATGGCCTTAACTCACGTTGTGGAACTTTAATGATAGCTGGCCGCTTCAATCTAATGGCTACATCCCAGGACCACTAACTTTACTGAGAGAGGAAAGCCATGAGGAGGGGCTGTCACCAGAACTCTGCCAAGGGTTCTGAGAAAGGAGCTGAAGAAAGAACCGTGGGTTAACAAGCAGAGACAGAGCCAGAGAAAGATACGGAGGTAGCTTGTTACCAAGTCCAACATTTTTCAATCCTCGTTCTGGAGTGTAGAGCACAGAGGGCGTTAGGTTTTAGCTGCCTAGGGATCTTAGTTCTCCACTGGCAAAATGGAAACAGCACTTATGATACCAGCTGCCTAGCCGCTGTCTAAAAACCCTTCCCCTTTACTGGCAAGGCAATTTGTATTTTCTTTTCTCTCTTTCTTTTCTTAGACAGAGTCTCGCTGTGTCGCCCAGGCTGGAGTGCAGTTGCACGAGCTTGGCTCATTGTAATCTCTGCCTCAGCCTCCCAAGTAGCAGGGACTACAGGGGTCCGCCACCACGCCTGGCTAATTTTTGTATTTTTTAGTAGAGACGGGGGTTTCACTATGAGGCCAGGGTGGTCTTGAACTCCTAACATAGTGATCCGCCCGCCTCGGCCTCCCAAAGTGCTGGTATTACAGACCTGAGCCAACGCTTCTGGCCTTTTCCTCACCTCGTGGTTGGGAGGCGCATGCGAGCTGAACCCACTTTGAAAATACAAACTGCCATACAAAACCCTTCTCCTTTTATTTGTACGGCAATTTGTACTTTACCGTGCGTTCACCTCGCATGCTCCTCCCAACCACGAGGTGAGGAAAGGCAGGCCAGAAGCTCACCTCCAAACTCCCATTTCCTAGAAAAGAAAACTGAGGCTCGGACCAGTTAAGTGCACGAAAGCAAAAAGGATGGCCATGGGCGATGCTCTCTAAGAAAATACCTCCGGGACTGACCAACGCTTCCTGCCCGGGTTCGGAATCTTACAGACCCGCAAAACTGCAAATGCGCTAGCAGTCTTAAAAACGTCCGCGCTGCCAGCTCTGAAAGGCAAATGCCGGCCGCGGAGCCGTTTAATCACAGGTAAACGGAGAGTCGCCGCAGCTCGACTGCCTCTTGCTTGGCGAACCCAGGGCAGGCCGCGACCCGCAGGGCCAGGCTGAACCCGGCGGCCGACCCAACGCAGCTGCTGTCGCTACCTGTACGCCGTGCATGATGTACACCTTCTCCGCCTCACTCAGTGCCACAGACGCCATGCTGCCGAGCTGCCCCGCGAGCCAAACGTCATCTGCGCGCGTCGTCTCCGCTGGACCGCTTCCCCACGCCCCACCCGCCGCGCCCACACGTCATCAACCTGCGCGGCGGCCGCTCCTGCAGCCGCGGCCGCCGCCACCGCCGGGAGCTCGATGGGCTTCTCCTGCGCGCCGCCCGGTGTCTGGCCGAGTCCAGGGAACCGCGGCGCCTCCTTCCGAGGAGCCATCGCCGCAGCCGGAGGCCGGGTCCTGGGTTGGGGACTGCAGGGGAAGGCAGCGGCGGGAGCCCCACCGGGGGCCTGGGACTGGGGAACTGCCTCCGGCTTCACGGTCAGTTGGGAAGGGAAACTGGGGTTGGGGTGAAGAAGCTGGGGTAAGGAGAGCCACACGGGCCGGGGGACTTGCAGTGGGAGAGATCTGCGGCGTAGTTGCTCAGAGCTAGAGTTGACCTAGGAGCTCGTGTGTGTCTCGTGTGTGTGTGTGTGTGTGTGTGTGTGTGAGTGACAGAGAGACCCCGACTAAGGAGGGGCGGACGTCGTGATTGGCCCGGGGGTGGCTGTTTCCCCGCTGTTCTCCTCTCCACTTCTCTAGTCCCTAGGAAGGCTGAAGAGGAGAGCCGATGCAGCCCTCTGTAGGTAGTTCTCGGTGGGAAGGGTCCGGGCTGGGAGTGGGGGACACTAGACCTAAGGCGTTCCCACCCCTCCACCCAGGAATATCTCTCGCTGACTCGCTCACTCTGACCGAACGCTGACCCAGTGCCTTGCTGGGACCTCTTGCTTCGGGTGCTTATCAGAGCATAGTCCCACAGACTAGGGGGAGGAGGCGCTTGGTAACGGGCGCTAGCTGGGTGCGCAGTGCCCAGACGTCCCTGACGCTTCCTAGCGGGGACGGGAAACCCCGGCTTGATGGAAGTGATCGCTGGGAGCTGGGAGCAGTTGCCCGAAAAAAAGTCAACCCCATGCGTTGGCCGAGTGGGAGTATAGGCATTGGATGCCCGGAGAGGATGTCTGCAAGGTGAAGCCGGGGTCACCAAAGGAACTCATTTAGGCGCGGCGGAAAAAGTATGGTGCAAGTTTTAAAGGAGCCGTGTGGATAAATGGGAGAAAGTTAACCCGAATTAGTTGAAACGAGGGCGAGTTGAAGCGAGTCTCATGACTTTCCTGATGTTCCATTTATGAGGACCCTCCCTGTTCTCAAAAGTGAAAGTAACCCTAATTAGCTCGATCAGCCAAAAAAAAAAAAAGTTGGTATTTCTCAGATAATGGCTTCAAATACAGTTTCAGATAACTATTGGGAGCCTACTATAGATAGGCTTTGTGCTACCTTTTGAACACAAGGCAAGTAAAACACACTATGCCCAGAGAAGTTCCCTGGGCAGAGGTTCAGGCTCCGGGGCCAGCATAACCATAGGTCATGGTGGTTAGAGCTATGATGGTGGCATCAGTGGGCACAGTGGGATTGGGAGGTCGTCTGAGGTTAAGAGAGGAAGTGCTTGCTCACATTCTTAATGATTAAATTGCTGAACTTCAAAATTGATTATCAGTTCTTAGTAGACTGGACATTAGATGTTTCTTATGTCTCTACATAGTTCTCTACCGGGGCACCTAAAAGGAAGACATCTTGCAGGATTGGACTTTGCCTTCCTGGGAAACTGGGAAGAGGTGAAGCCGGAAGGGCTTCCACCCTAATGAGGGCACAGGTGCCCCACCTGTTGTGGCACACAGATGTGTTTGTGTGTGGTTGGACAGCTGGGTTCTGTGTGGGGAGCTCTGTGTGATAAGATAACATGCGATTGCTGATGTTAGAAATGGTAATTTCTAGATGTGCTAGAGATCTTCTCAGAAAGGAAAGACCCCGGAAGTGGGAATTTAGAAACTAGGATATGTAAGAGGACTGAGGATTTAAAAGGTGACAGCAAATGGACAGATCAGCAAAGAGAAAGAAAAGCTTGAGTTCAGAAACCATGGGGTCATCTTTATGTCAAGATCTTCCAGTGTCTTTTAAAACATACAACATATATTTGAACTGTCCCCCTGACAATTGATAGAAATTCCATACCGGAGAAGGGTTGGCAGTATTTGCTAAATAATGTTACAAATGATATTAGGCTAAGTAGGTATGAGAGATGTAAACAGTAGAATGTTCCTTTTTAAATTGTCTGCTACAACAATGACAATCTTGGCAGGGCATGGTGGCTCAGGCCTGTAATCCCAGCCCTTTGGGAGGCCGAGGTGGGCAGATCATGAGGTCAGGAGATCAAGATCATGCTGACTAACATGCTGAAACCCGTCTCTACTAAAAATACAAAAAATTAGCAGGGCATGGTGGCATGCACCTATAATCCCAGCTACTCGGGAGGCTGAGGCAGGACAGTTGCTTGAACCCCAGAGGCAGAGGTTGAGGTGAGCCAAGATTTCGCCATTGCTCTCCAGCCTGGGCTCTCCTTCTCAAAATAAAATAAAATAAAATAAAGTGACAATCTTTACCAAGCATTCTGCTTAAATGCTGCCAGAACATTTTTATCCTTTTTCCTGTAATAGAGCATTGGACAGCTTTAAAATCCACAAATTTCATAAAATCCATAGAGTTCTTTTTTAGTTTATTGAAGTAATTAAAGAACATATGATAACCAAAAAAAATTAAGAAGTCAAAGATGGCACAGTATTCTATTAAACCAGCTTGTTTTTCTATCATTTATTGAATGAATAAATGAATTGGGGCATACTAATCTGTAAGGTTGTGTATTCTAAAACCCTATACTCTAATTTTCACACTAATTTACATAATGCTTATTGTATACCAAGCATTGTTCTAAGCACTTTATAAAGATTAAGTGATTCAGTCCTTGAAACAGCCCTGTGAAGCAAGTATTTTTATCCCCATTTTACAGATTGCAAAACGAGACACAGAGAGGTTAAATGCCTTAACCAGGGTCACAGGTTATATCATTGGTAAATGGCAGAAACAGGACTTGAGACCAGGTAGTCTAGCTCTCCTGCCCACACTCCTAACCATCACCTTACACAGTCTTCCCCTAGGTTTTATTTCATTCACCAGAGTATTTGGTGAAGGAAGTCCCGATTTTGTTTTGCATTGGTTGCTGCCCTATGAACTATATAGTTCACCTTAATTCCAAAAGCAAGGAGTCTGTTCAAGCATAAACTCATATCCCTTGAATCAGTTTTCTAGAGGAACGTGGAATGTGCTGATGGGAAGTTCCTGTGTCTGTTGTAGCCCAACCTTTTAAACAAGGCAAAAGATTATGTATGAACAGAATAGAACATTAACTCCAAGTAGCTGAGGAGAGAGCCCTCAATGGCAAAGAAGGGTGATAGATCTGATACTAGGATTGAGTAGCATGCATGGAGACCCAGATTCCAGCCATATGCTGTACTCAGAAGAAATATCTAGTAACTCTTCAGACAGTTAGTGTTTGCATGCCTGTGAGTCCCTAGTGTTCTTATGGGCATAAAGAGATAAGAAACCCAAAACACAGCACCTGCCTGAAAGTAGTGTAGAATTTATTATAGTAGGGGATCCCAGAACCTTGAACTAGTGCATGAACAAGACAATAAAATAAAGTGCTCAATTGAGACATGTGGCAATTAGAGAGAGGCCAGCCTATAATAAGGGGCTAATTGTGCAGGACAGGTATCAAACACAAAAGATAAAGAGCTGCTGCTAGCCACAAGCTGGGAACAATAACATTACAGAGACAGATGTAAATCTGTCCCACCCAGCCTTGGTTAATTAAAGCAATAAAAGCCAGTTTCAGAAGAGCTTCAGGGCAATGCTGAGTCTGTGGTGCTGACATTGCAAAGAGCTTTTTCTGGAGACAGAGTGTCACTCTGTTGCCCAGGCTGGAGTGCGGTGGCACAATCTCTGTTCACTGCAACTCCACCTCCTGGGTTCAAGCAATTCTTGTGCCTCAGCCTCCCAAGTAGCTGGGATGACAGGTGTGTGCCACCACTCTGACTGATTTTTGTATTTTTGGTAGAGACTGGATTTGGCCATGTTGGTCAAGCTGGTCTGGAACTCCTGGCATCAAGAGATCCATCTGCCTCAGCCTCCCAAAGTGCTGGGATTACAGGCATGAGCCACTGTGCTCAGCCACAGAGAGCTCTTTAAAGCCCAGTAGGAAACCTTCTTTCTATTCCCAGTCTTAAGCAGACATGGCCACAATTTAGGCCTTTTCCTTTGCATTTTCACCATTACCCCAGCACTCTCAAAATGTACAGTGTACGCTACTGTTTTCCCTATAGATCTGTTTCCTTTAAACACTTTGCATTTCTCCTACCTGCAGCTTGTCTTAAAGAATACTAGATATTGGGAGGCTGAGGTGGGAGGATCCCTTGAGCCCCAGAGTTCGAGTCCAGCCTGGACAACATAGACCCCATCTCTAAAAATAATAAAATAATGATAGAAATGAAGAATATCTGTAAAAAATACTGTCATAATCTGGCCAGCAGGTCTCCATCTGTCTTCTAGACATAACTTGGGATTACAGTGCTAGAAAAATTGCTAGTAATACATGGGTAGAGCTTACTCTTAATTAGAGGAAGGGTTATACAGTCTTCTTATGTGTTTCATTTTGAAAAGGTAACAGAGTGTTTCCTATGTCTCATCAGGGTATATTTGAGAAAAGGGGATCACACATCCTGATTACCAAATATGGAAATATTTAAACACACACACACCCTGATAGTCATGGAAAGTAACAAAGTCTCAGGTAGAAATGGAGGAGTGATGTCTCAATATTGACCTGCTAGAGGGAAAAAATGAGCCTGATGCCGTGCTGCCTCTAATTCCTTCCTGTTTTGCATTTTAAAAAATCATTTGCTTTCCTCCTTGGAAGCAGATTTCCCGAAACAAATAGTCAGGTCATTCATGGCTGTCAACTGTGAAGGTGAGAAGACTCCAGGTGCATGTCCCACTTAATTAAATCGTACATTCTAATACATTTGAAATGCATGGGAAATGTCATCATTTCATAGTCTTCAAACCATAGCCTTCCTAGTACGTATTGACTTGGTGATTGAACTCTTTGGCTTGAACTCTTGGCGAGACATGAACATATATTTCCTATTTCCCATTCTGGGTGAGTGGAGATGGAATGCCTTTGGGTAAATCACTTTCTTAGCTTAGCAGGATGAGCCTAGTGGGACAATACAGTTCTGACCACAGTACTGTTGCAGTAAAGTATTCGGTATGTGAAGTGTATGTTTCTAAAACAAGAAATAGTAGCAGAGAATCTAGAAAGACAGGCTGGTTAGGAAGATACCGATTGATGGTGGAAAGACTACCAGGCATCTTAGTGCAAAGATTTGGGC